GCTTTGATGATGATCAAAGATTTTTGGGTTTATACAAAGTTTATGAGAAATTTGTATTTCCAAACAAGTGAGTGGGAGCACTATAGAATTTCTGATATATATGTTGTTAACATATTGTTGATCAGAAATGATGTAGAATTTCTGGAAAGCATATAGGGTTATTTGGAAAATGTTTTTCAATGGAAAGCCTGGATTAAGCTACTTCAACGTTGAGCATCAAGATCTATAAGGATAGATCAAAACGCTTAATGGTACTTTCAAATGAGCACATACCTTGACATGATCTTGAAGGTGTTCAAGATGGATCAGTCAAAGAAGGAGTTCTTGCCTGAGTTGTAAGGTATGAAGTTAAGACTTAAAGCTCGACCACGGCAGAATAGAGAGAAAGGACGAAGGTCGTCCCCTATGCTTAAGACATAGGCTCTACAGTATGCTATGCTGTGTACCGCACCTGAAATGTGCCTTACCATGAGTCAGTCAAGGGGTACAAGAGTGATCTAAGAATGGATCACAGGACAGCGGTCAAAGTTATCCTTAGTAACTAGTGGACTAAGGAATTTTCTCGATTATGGAGGTGGTAAAAGAGTTCGTCGTAAAGGGTTACGCTGATGCAAACTTTGACACTAATCCAGATTATTCTGAGTAGTAAACTGGATTCATATAGTAGAACAGTTATTTGGAATAGCTCCAAATAGAACGTGGTAGCTGCATCTAGGAGATGACATAGAGATTTGTAAAGCACACACGGATCTGAAAGGTTCAGACCCGTTGACTATAACCTCTCTCACAAGCATAACATGATCAAACCCAGAACTCATCGAGTGTTAATCACATGGTAAATGTGAACTAATTATTGACTCTAGTAAACTCTTTGGGTGTTAGTCACATGGGGATGTGACCTTGAGTGTTAATCACATATAGATGTGAACTAGATTATTGACTCTAGTGCAAGTGGGAGACTGTTGGAAATATGCCCTAGAGGCAATAATAAATTGATTATTATTATATTTCCTTGTTCATGATAATCGTTTATTATCCATGCTAGAATTGTATTGATAGGAAACTCAAATACATGTGTGGATACATAGACAACACCATGTCCCTAGTAAGCCTCTAGTTGACTAGCTCGTTGATCAATAGATGGTTACGGTTTCCTGACCATGGACATTGGATGTCATTGATAATGGGATCACATCATTAGGAGAATGATGTGATGGACAAAGACCCAATCCTAAGCCTAGCACAAGATCATGTAGTTCGTATGCTAAAGCTTTTCTAATGTCAAGTATCATTTCCTTAGACCATGAGATTGTGCAACTCCCGGATACCGTAGGAGTGCTTTGGGTGTGCCAAACGTCACAACGTAACTGGGTGGCTATAAAGGTACACTACAGGTATCTCCGAAAGTGTCTGTTGGGTTGGCACGAATCGAGACTGGGATTTGTCACTCCGTGTAAATGGAGAGGTATCTCTGGGCCCACTCGGTAGGACATCATTATAATGTGCACAATGTGGTCAAGGAGTTGATCACGGGATGATGTGTTACGAAACGAGTAAAGAGACTTGCCGGTAACGAGATTGAACAAGGTATCGAGATACCGACGATCGAATCTCGGGCAAGTATCGTACCGATAGACAAAGGGAATTGTATACGGGATTGACTAAGTCCTTGACATCATGGTTCATCCGATGAGATCATCGTGGAACATGTGGGAGCCAACATGGGTATCCAGATCCCGCTGTTGGTTATTGACCGGAGAGTCATCTCAGTCATGTCTGCATGTCTCCCGAACCCATAGGGTCTACACACTTAAGGTTCGGTGACGCTAGGGTTATAGAGATATTAGTATGCGGTAACCCGAAAGTTGTTTGGAGTCCCGGATGAGATCCCAGACGTCACGAGGAGTTCCGGAATGGTCCGGAGGTAAATAATTATATATAGGAAGTGCTATTTCGGCCATCGGGACAAGTTTCGGGGTCACCGGTATTGTACCGGGACCACCGGAAGGGTCCCGGGGGTCCACCGGGTGGGGCCACCTACCCCGGGGGGCACATTTTTTTTGAGAATCTCACAAAGCTTTATTACTGAATCATAATGTTCATAGGTACAAAAAGAAGATCGCCGGGTTGTCCTAGCCAAGTGTGTCGGCCAAACCCTAAAGATAACGCATGCTTTGCGAGATTATGGGCCTCCGTATTGGAGGTCCTATACTCATGAGTAAACGAACATGAAATAAAGGTAGTTGCTCTAGTCTTGATTTCCTCGACAATGGCTCCAAATTCTGCTGAGCTTCCCTGTCTGATTGCATCTACCACCACCTTGCAATCGGAGGCAACAAGTAAATGGTTGATATAGAGATCTTCTGAAAGTGCTAATGCCTCCCGAACAGCTAGTGCTTCTAGCACTTGGGGGTTGTGCAGTCCTCTGAAAACGAGAGCTGACGCTCCCATGAACAAACCTCTCTCATCCCTGCAAACCACACCAACTGCGCCAAACGTACCTGGGCGTGACACGGCCGCGTCCACATTGAGTTTGTAGTAATCTGTTGGTGGTGGAATCCACGTACGGGGTCGTGGTACTGCTATCCCATGTGCTTCCTCCTTCTTCTTCTTCAAAAACTCTACATGGGCTGTAGGGGTGTGCGCCTTGGCCTGTATGGGCCAAGGGCACCAGCCCCAAGAGGCCCATGCGCCAAGAGATAAGGAAAGGAAGAGTCCTAAAGGTGAAGGCACCTCCGAGGTGCCTTGGGGAGGATGGACTCCTCCCTGGCCGCACCCTTCCTTGGAGGAAGGGCCAAGGCTGCGCCCCCCCTCTCCCTTGGCCCTATATATAGTGGGGGAAGGGAGGGCAACGAAACCTAAGCCCTGGCGCCTCCCTCTCCCTCCCATGACACACCTTCCTCCTCCCGCAGCGCTTGGCGAAGCCCTGTTGGAATCCCGCTACTTTCATCACCACGCCGTCGTGCTACTGGATCTCCATCAACCTCTCCTCCCCCCTTACTGGATCAAGAAGGAGGAGACGTCGCTGCTCCGTATGTGTGTTGAACGCGGAGGTGCCGTCCGTTCGGCGCTAGGATCATCGGTGATTTGGATCACGACGAGTACGACTCCATCAACCCCGTTCTCTTGAACGCTTCCGCGCGCGATCTACAAGGGTATGTAGATCCACTCCTCCCTCGTTGCTAGATGACTCCATAGATAGATCTTGGTGACACGTAGGAAAATTTTGAATTTATGCTACGTTCCCCAACATTCACGGGGTGATACATGGTGCTACCTACACCTTTTGCCTCTACCAATGCTGAAATAATCATGTAATTTGCGGTACGGGATCTCTCCGCGATCTTTCTAACTCGTACCTCCTCTTGCGATACGACAGTCTCTATCTAAATCTTGAGATCCTTCCACTCACCATCCGATGAACTAAGGAGTGTTGTCCTTGCAAAACACCACCCTTCATGGAGATCAAGATTCGACAGCACTACCGATGTAGTAACATAGTTTCGATAAACTCAACGACCTTCAAACATCTTTCACTTGATGAAATTCACATCTTTACATGCATGATAAGACCTCGGTTTCGCTCTAGCAAGTCCACCCGGTTGTTCGTCAAGATTGTGAATTCCCCCCCTCGGCGCATGACATTTTTGTTTTCCATTCCAAACCTTCCGCTCAAATGGTACCAGCGCATTTTGCTTCTCGGGGGATTGAAACTGGAGCGAGCAAGTCATCATCAATCTTCTATATCTAAATAGCTAGCCCCCATTAACATATTTCTCTCAACATGCAAGCATGCCACCTCATCATTCAACATTCATGGGAAAGGTCCACCTAAACATGCAACTATTCATAATAAAAATCCACCTCAACATGCAAACATGCATGCATGGAAAATTCCATTCTATTATGCTATTAATATTTAATTCGTACATTCGTTCAAAAACTATCATTTCAAATATTCAGGTTTCATATATATAACCAAGACCTCATTTCCGCAATAACGCGCGGGGCATCGTCTAATTCTAAAAATGGCCGGGCGTTAGTGTGCAGATCCGGCCTCGTTGGCTTTCCGGATTAGCTGTAACACCGCGGCCCGCTAATTAATGATGACACGAGGAGTAGGCAGCGGAGTCGTTGGGTACTTAATAATAACCAATGAATCATGAATTAACGAGCAGTAGTGTGGAGCACGTGAGACGGTGGCGGTCTCATGATTTATTTCTTCTCTAGCCTGTAGCCAATCTCACGACGGCCTAACTTTTTTTTCCGGCTTAACGGAAGGAAGGGAGCGGGCAGGCCAGCCTAGCATCGCACAAGAAAAGAAAAGCGACCCGGCCCAACTGCCGTGCCCACGGATTTGTTTTTCATTTTTTTTTCGGAGGAGAGAGAGGGGGGGAAAGCGACGCGTTACGCCACGTCACCCGCGCCCCAACAAACTCCGCCATTTTCTTTTGCGGAGGAAAAGTAGAGAGAGAAGGTCCAAGTTCCGAGTCCTCCCTCCGTCCCCGCCTTCCTCCTCCAGCGACTGCTTCTTCCCACCGGCCGCGCCGCCCCACCGACCGGACCCAACCACCGCCGCGCCCCGCTTGACTCCTCCCTCCCTCCGCCCGCTCCTCGGAGGCACAGGTACGTGCTCAGCGGTCAGCGCCGTCGCGTGCTGCCTCGCCTCGCCGTGGGCGCGTGGGTGCTGCTGCGTTGGCCGCGCGCGGCCTCTGATGTATCCGGCCGGTGGTTTGTTGCGCTAGTAGGCTCCCGGCTCGGCCGGCGGTGCGGGCAGATTTGGCCCCCGCCGCCTTTTTGGTCGCGGTCGCGGTAGTGGGGGATTTGTCAGAGTTCTCGGGATTTTTTTCCCTCTGTATGGGTGGGATTTACTCTCGATGCCGTCGGGACTGTTCTCCATTTCGCGATGCGGGCTAATTCGGTCCCGCCCTCCGGTCGATTGATTAGCCGCGCCTGTGATCCTGCGGAGAGCGTGCCTCGCGCGATCTTACCGTGATCTGATGTTTCTCACCTGTCAATTTCGTTGTCGCAGGTCGGGGGCGCTCGATTCGGCGCGCTGCCTCGCCGGACACGCCAGCTCTGGGTGTGGGTGGAGGCACAGCTCGGCTCCCCGCTGTGGTGCTGCGACGGACCTAGGGTTTACTGTTCAGCAGCAGCAGGGTGAGGTGGCACCTCCTGCTGCCGGGGACCCAGGGGACGGGGCAGCTTAATTCGGCGTCCGTGTCGGGGAGATTTGGACTGATCTGGGTGGTAGTATGATCAAGCAGATCCTTGGGCGGTTCCCTAAGAAGCCGTCCAAGTCCGGGGACAAGGATCCGATCGGACGGTCAGGCGCCTCCGTGTCCAACCCCCCGAGAGGCGCGGAGAGGGCATCCGGCCACACGCCAATTATCTCCAGCTCTGGGCTCAGCTACGGCGACGGCCAGCATCCGGGTAACGGAAACAACTCGAGGGTCAACAATGGCAATTCATCGGCCTTCGAGCTGCTCCCGGGCTTTAAGGATGTCCCCAACGCCGAGAAGAATAACCTCTTCGTCAAGAAACTGAACCTGTGCTGCGTCACGTTTGACTTCAGCGACCCGACAAAGAGCATGAAGGAGAAGGAAGTAAAACGACAAACTCTGTTGGAGCTCGTGGACTATGTCGCCTCGGCCAATCAGAAGTTTCCGGAGATAGTTATGCAGGAGACCACGAGGATGGTTTCTCTGAACCTGTTCAGGACGCTGACCACCCCTCCCAGGGAGAACAACATTTCAGCCTATGATTTGGATGAGGATGAGCCTGTGATGGACCCTGCTTGGTCGCACTTGCAGATTGTTTATGAGTTGTTCTTGAGGTTCATTCAGTCTCCGGAGACTGATGCCAAGCTGGCTAAAAGGTACATCGATCATTCCTTTGTCCTCAGGCTACTTGATCTCTTTGACTCCGAAGACCCCAGGGAGAGAGAGTACCTCAAGATGATACTCCATCGTGTCTATGGAAAGTTCATGGTTCATCGGCCAGTTATTAGGAAAGCCATCAACAACACCTTCTACCAGTTCATCTACGAAACTGAAAAGCACAATGGAATTGCAGAGCTACTGGAGATCTTAGGGAGCATCATCAACGGGTTTGCGTTGCCACTTAAGGAAGAGCATAAATTGTTCCTTATCAGGGCCTTGATTCCACTACACAAGCCAAAGTGCATTGCAATGTATCATCAACAGTTGTCTTACTGCATTACGCAGTTCGTTGAAAAAGATTGTAAACTTTCAGACACAGTTATCAGGGGCCTACTGAAATATTGGCCCATCACAAACAGCAACAAGGAGGTGATGTTTTTGGGAGAGTTAGAAGAGATACTAGAAGCTACACAGCCTGCAGAGTTTCAGAAATGCATGGTTCCTCTTTTCCGCCAGATTGCACGTTGTCTGAACAGCTCTCACTTTCAGGTAATATTAACCGCACACGGTACCTTTTTTTATTAGAAGTATACATCTATTTGTGTTGCTTGATGCTTCATTTTCCATTTCTTCTGTTGTGTAATTTTCATCTGTCCTTTTGTCCCTGGATAGGTAACAAATAAATAGTGATAAAATCTCATTTTATTTATTATGTTTCTATTCAAGACATGGTAGTGCAGATTTAGTATTTGTATTGTGTCAATTTATCCGGTGGCTGGTCTGTCTAGAATTAGTGCACACGTTACCTTATTGCACGGAATGTCATATTTCCAGCTCACTGCTTTGTATTTGAAACGACACTTTTGTGATAGTTTTCTCTATTCCATACTTTTCCGTTTACTTTCAGGGCCTCCTTTTTTAGAGCGCCCTGTTATTTTGTGCTAATGACACGCAGTGCAGTGCTGCACGCAATCTCTGACATCACAGCTTCGCCAAAAAGCCGTTTTTTATTTAATTTTAGACATAAATGCTGCATGTTTAAGTCGTCATGGAGCACCGCTGGGCTCCCAGCACTATGACTGGAACATGCTAGCAGAATAAATATGCCAAAGTAAAACTTATACGATTAGTTTTAATAATGGTTTGGCAGTTCTCTGGTTAGTGACATTGTCACAGAAGCAAATTCTATCAGCTGTTTATGGCTTTTGCCTACAATGGGCACCTGACAAGATTCTGTTTAGGAGATGTCTGTTTCGTGTGGGCCATTATCCTATGGCCTAATTCAGGGACTTCACTTGCACTTTATTCCATCAAAAGCCCTTGTGGCACATCTTGAATCTGTCAGAATTTTGAAAAGCTGATGCTTCTGGTTCTTTATTCTCATTCTTCATGATTATGTGAATAGAACCTTTACTTTGTTGTTGGAGAAGGCACTCATGAATGCACATGCTAGCATGCTTGAAGTCGCAGAACCAGAGTATATCATTAACTGGTGAATTGTAGCTAATGGTGCTTATGCCACTTCCAGGTTGCTGAGAGATCATTGTTTTTGTGGAACAATGACCATATCGAGAGTTTGATCAAACAGAACAGCAAGGTGATATTGCCTATCATATTCCCTGCACTGGAGAGAAATTCCAGCGGGCACTGGAACCCAGCTGTGCAAAGCCTCACTCTTAATGTGCGCAAATTGTTCTCTGATCATGACGCCGGACTGTACACCGAGTGTCTGCGGAAATACGAAGAAGCCAAAGCCAAAGAGAAGGAGAATAAATTGAAGCAAGAAGCCACATGGAAACGCCTAGAAGAGATTGCGTCATCAAGAGCAACCAGTGGAGAGGCTGTGCTCGTCCATCGAACCTTACCCCGTCAATCTTCAGCTGTGTAGCTAATTATTCAAGTGGTAAAGATGTTCTCCTTTTCTTTTCTTTTCTTTTTCTGCTGGGTAGTTTGTAGCTCGTGCAATTGTGTCTAATGTAAGAATTTGTTGAATCAGTAGGGGGTCCTCCAGAGATTCGTGAAACATTGTACATGATTGAATTGTATATACAAGGTATATCAGGCAGGCAAATCGACAGGAGATCTGAGAAGCCAGGTGGTGGGTTTGGCGCAGCACGGGAGCATCATCATTTCTTGGTCCTGAGCCTCGGCGGCTTCTCTCGGCATGCTGAGATCTGCGGTTCATTGCTATATCCTTTATCCTTGTCGGAATTCGGTCACAGTCTGTTCCTCCCATTGAAGGGTTTGTTGTGGAAGCAAATGGTCGGTCGTTGTTGTCGGTGGGTAGATCTCTAGTTAGAGAGGTAGAGAGAAGTCGGTCTTCATTTCAAAACGAGTCATGGTTGTTCTCGAGTCGGCATGGTTGTAAAAAATGGAAGCAAAGTTTTCTTTTCCTGTACAATATAACCAAAATATTTTCTCACAGAACGTGTGAGGTGCATTCATTTTATTATTATTATATGGCGTTCTGTCTTGTTGGAGGTATTCTGAATTGGCCATTTTAACCCGATGAAACTCTAGGATACTCTTTATTAAAATTCGCTGTTGGTCGCCATAGCGTCAACTACATCTGTCTCACAAATCACACTGGATTCAGAACAAGGTGCTGGTCACAGTTCAACTGAATTACAACAGCCACCACAAGACTGCTGCTGCTGCTGAATGCTGAAGATGATGCTGGCGCTCGCTCAGTTGCCGTGGCCTTTCCTGGCGGCGGCGAGCAGGGAGCCGAAGGATGGGCGGATGAAGGTGCCCGAGGCGTCGCGGAAGAACATGCCGGCGACGACCTTGTACATGGCCTCGGTCATGTGGACGCCGTCCCAGTTGACGTAGCGGGCGGGGTGGGCGCAGGCGGCGGGGACCTCGGGCGAGCCGCAGGTGGAGAAGATCTCGAAGTTGTAGGCGCCGCCGCCGGAGCCGCAGCAGGTCTTGAAGGGCTCGGCGAAGCCGTACCTGGCGGGGCTGCGCATGACGGCGAGGTGCGCGGCGTAGTAGTCGGCGTAGGCGAGGACAGCGCCCGGGTGCGCCTGGCGGAGCCGGTGGATCCCGGCCTGGAGGTGGTGGTTGTGGTCCATGCTCTGCTTGTTGACGGAGGCGACGCAGCTGAGGTTGTCCCGGTCCTCGGGCCGCGCCAGCGTCATGGCCAGCGGCAGGCAGCCGGTGAGCGGCAGCCCCTGCACCACCACGTACCTGGCCCCCCTCTTCAGCAGCCCCTGCCATTTTTGTTTCTCCGTCAGTCGCAGAGAAATCACACCAAATTAATTAAGGAGACAATGTGAGGTTTATTTTGATCATGAAGAAGTATCCTGGCACAAAAGTAGTACTAGTACACTCTCGTACGTTACTCCATACTCTGATTCTTCTTTTTACTACTGCAACTCCAGATGGTGACTGCATGGACAAGAATGATGAAGTCCATGATTGCTGCAATCTTTAACCGGTTTCCTCATTCATCACAGCGCTTCTTTTCTATGAGTACCCCCATAATTTCTGTTCGGAATTACTTGTCTCGGAAATGGATGTATCTAGAACTAAAATACATCTAGATACATCCATTTCGACGACAAGTAATTCCGAACGGAGGGAGTAGGTAGCAGAATTTGAGGCTAGCACTGTACATGCATATGCAGAGGTAGCAGATAGAGACAATGCAGTAAATGGCCATCAAAATTAGTACTCCCTCCATTCCGAATTACTTGTCTTAGATTTGTCTAGATACGAAGGTATCTAGCACTAAAATGAGTCTAGATACATCCGTATCTAGACAAATCCAAGACAAGTAATTCGGAACGGAGGGAGTAGGTCGGAGTACTGGATGGAAGCTGCGGCGCCTCATCAAAACGTCAAGAATTAAGTCGGAGTACTACTAGTCAGTTCAATGGATTAATCACGCCTCTCCCTGTTTATCATCGGCTGACACTGTACTAACCCCTAACTGAACTGAACCGAACCAAATTCAGACCAGCACTTGAGCTGCAGTCACAGATGGGAGATTCACGGTGGAATTACTATTCTCTTCAGTAGGATGCTGTTAGCTAGGTGCATTATGTTCTCCAGGGACAAAGGTTGAAGAGGGAATTTAAGACGGGATCGGATAGATCGGCAGCAGTAGTGTAGTAAGTGTCGGCAGGGACAGCAAAAAGGCAGCCGTAGATCTATCTACTCTTGCGCACCAGTAGGAGTTTTGATGAAGAACAACAGCTCGCTCACCTACTGACTCCGGTTACAACCAAGCAAAGGTAGAGAAACTCGGTACAACCCTCAGTCCTTGGAGGTCAGCTCAGTAGCTAGGAATTAATCACACCGAAATCAAAGTAAATAAATGCACCCATCTGTCAGAATCAGACCTTCGGACATGTACTACAAGGACAGGTTGCATCCACGGCATGGGCTCTGAAGCTCTGGTCTGGACGCTCACTATGATAACTAACCGCCTTTTGTTTTCACTGTGCACTACTTAATTACAAGTTACAGTGATGAAATTAGGAGATCCATCTATCTAGAAGATCTACTCCGTCAGTCCCATAATATAAGAGCGTTTCTGACGCTACTTATATTATGGGACGAAAGGCTACTTATATTATGGGATGGAGGGAGTAGCAAGCATCCTTACACCACTAGATAGATTTTGGTTTAACTTTCATCCACAGGCATGCTCACTGTGCTCTAGATTAATGCACATGCATTTTGTGAAGTATTGTTCCGCAGAGACAGAGTGTGCAGACGAAAATTAGTCAGTGTAACTGACTGAGGTTGAGTAGCTAGGTGTACCTCGAGGAAGGTGGTGACCCTGTCGACGGCCATGGTCCGGATGCGCTCCGGCGGGATGGAGTCGGCGGCCATGAAGCTGTAGGCGTAGTCGTTGGCGCCGATCTCGCCCACCCAGTAGAGCGCCTCGCCGATCTCCTCCTTCTTGGCTTGGCGCGTCTTGAGGTGCGCGTCGAACCACCCCAGCTCCGTCATGATGGACTGCGGCGTGATGTCGATGCTCAGGTTGTTCTTGGCGAAGAAGTCGTGCTCGATGGCCGTCGCGCCGGCCACCGCGAAGTTGGCGCCGTAGTACTTGCTACTCTTGCTGCTGGCGTTGGGGGCGGCGAGGGAGAGGTAGGGCGGGAGGAAGGAGGGCAGCGCCAGCGCGTCGGTGGCGAGGAAGTCGACGACGAGGCGGCCGTCGGAGTAGCGGTTGGTGGAGCGGTGGAAGAAGGTGGCGCCGTAGGGCGGGTTGGAGACGTAGCCGTACGAGTAGGGCCCCGTCGTGGAGTGCGTGTTGCCCGTGTCCGTGAACGAGTCCCCGAACGCGTACACCGTCCGGAACGGCGGGGGTGGTGCCGGCGCCGGCGCCGCGGCCGCGACGGAGAAGGTCACGGCGGCGACGAGGAGGAGGCAGAGACAGCTGACGGCGGTGGACGCGGCCATGGCGAGCGCGATTGAGTGAGTGAGCTCACTAGCTTCTCGATGCTGCCTAGCTTAGCTTGCTGCTGCTTAGCTTGTGTGCGTGTGGTAGTTTTTATAGTTGGATCCAGGCCCGCCAGCACACCGGGCCGGACTTGACTGACTTGAGGGTCAACGCGTGCCCGAGGCCCGGCCCGTGAGATCGGACCTGGGCCTCCCGTGACTTGCATGCATGGCGCTTCTCATTGACCTGCAGGCGCCTGCAAGTCAAGCTGCTGTACTAGTGGTGGTGGTACTATGCTGAATTTCACTGGGAAATTATTAGCAGACCCAATTAGGTGGTGGTTAAGGACCATAATGGGCCGTGTCTGAGGTAGCTAGGAGGAGATGTGGATGGATCAAACGGATTAGTGTGTGTGGGTTCAGTCATGCACTGCACGCCTGCACCAACCCCTTGGGATTTGTTAGGTGCTCATTACTCGCACAGACAGCAGGCAGGCTGCAGGCGCCGCACTTACACCTCTGTCCACGTCCTTCTAGATGATGGACTATATATACGCGCTGCAGTGCAATTAATAGTCCAGAAAAAAAAGGTACTCCCTCTGTAAACTAATATAAGAGTGTTTAGATAACTAAAATAGTGATCTAAACGCTCTTATATTAGTTTACGGAGGGAGTACTAAACATTTGTATGTGCTCTACATAGGAGTATCTATATCAATAACAATAATGCTACATCTACATAAAAAGTTACAAAAGGCTTACGTAACTTTTTTTTTGAGTAAAAAGGCTTACGTAACTTGCCTAAACTAAATCCTCTCTCCCCCACCCCTGTTTTAACCGGGGGTGGGTCCCTTCCTCCCCCTCTCTCCAATCCCAGCCCACCATGTTGTTGTTTAGGTTAATTTACATTTGTGTTTTACGTAGATGTAGCATTACTCTGGCAATAATGCTAGACCTACAAAGAATCTACAAACGTTTACTTAATTTTTCAAACTATAATTCTCTCCCCTTGCCCCTTCATCCTCTTATTACCAATCATAACCCTTCACATCAGCTTGTTTGTAAAAAAATTGAGTAACCTTTTTTTGAGCCAAAATTAAGTAAACTTTGATCTAGAGTCGTGCGGTATAGATTCATTTTTTTTGCAAAGAGAGTTTCCCCTCTTTCTATTATTAACAAACTGTATAAAGAGATTTATTTCTATCACCCTTTAGGCCTCCTTTGGTTTGGAGGAATTTTGTAGGAATTATATAGGATAGGATTTATACAGGAAAAAATCAGTTAGAGTACCTTGGTTTATAGGAATGGAATCCTATTTTATGAAGGAACTCTTCGTATCCTCCACATTTCATAGGAAAATAATCATTAGCCTAGACTAAATGAAAAAAACAATCATATGATATGAACGAAAGGGCATCTCTTTTCCTATCCCTATTAATAGGATTCGAGATACATGTCATTTTATTTCCTATCACTAGTAGAAAAAAATGGCCA